AGGGAGGCGTTTGGAGCTACAACAGGCGTTGAATCAGCTAACCATGAACATGCTACGAATGGAGACTAGCAGTGAAGTTGCCCTCGGCAGACGCAGAAAGGTCGTCATAAAAGGCAGTACAAAACCCTTCAGCGTCATCACACGCCAGAGGGACCGAGACCTAAGGTATATTGTTAATCTCCTGAGAATAGCAGGCGTGCCAAGGCACTCACTACTGAAGAGTGTTTCGGCTGGTTAGGTGGACCCGCAAGCCAGGCGGTACCCAAGGGGCTGTCAGGCCGGTTCTAGTGGGGCTCGGGAACCCTAGGTTTATAGAATAGATGGAGGTGACGGGCGAATTGGCGGAGGAATAATGGTGCTGGTAGCAAACGACCATACAAACCTTGACAGTCACAACGGACACAGAAAGGTAAAGCGATCTAATAGATACCAGTTAACGTTATAGCACTTCAATAACCATTAGTCACCTTACTGTTAACAGTCCCTTCAAACTTATGCAAGAGGATCACTCCATTATTGAATTTGATAAGTCTAAGAGAACAGCTGTAACACAAACCTTGCAGTTCAAAGACTTACAATCATCGTGGTTCATCCTAAAAGATCCATAAAGCTAATTGAGGTATATGGAGCTAAACTCAATGCCCTCGTTCAGGACAAGGATTGTCCGGTGGGCATATGCCTGTCAGTTGACAACGTAGACGACTTCAATCGCTAAACGAAGAAATGGGGTCGGCGGGGCATTACAATGTGTTTCAGTTGCTACTTAGGTGAAGAACCTCGCAGTTACCGGTGGCACCAACCTTGCGAAATGCATTCGGTCCACGATACGCAGGACTTTTGCTCCAAAAATCGGATCGAATCTTACCTGGAATGGTATCCATATCCATAGCCTTGACTGATGCACCCGTCACCGAGGCCATAATCGGTAAGGGTGCATTCCTCAATTAAACTTAAGAGATAGTTCATATGGTATCTTAAGCTGTGAAAGCTATAATATTTTGGAAGTAGAATAACTGATTATTTTTTCAAACAATATATTTATTATTATAGTATTATTATTGCATGTAATATATACGTGACACATTTAGCGACTCTAATTTTACCTGCCGATATTTGTGCATGCTTAAGCATGTAAGTATATAATATTACATTATATGACGTACAGCATATAAGGTGAGATGCAGATAAACCTCAAAACGATCACGAAGCTTTATGGTGTTTTTGAGGTGTAATTTTATTTATTCGTTTATAGTTAGTAAAATTTACTCTTATTTCAATTTTTCTCTATTATATTTACTTTTGATGCAAACGTTTTTTCGATGCCGAGCAAAAAGAAACCCAGGAGCCGCAAAGTTCTGGAAAGGAAACGGTTGGCTTGGAATACTTGAATCAATCTTAAGATTTTTACCTCATATAGGAGATACAAACTCCTGAGAAACCAAGTAATCAACATTTCCACGAAAGCTAGACAGACATACGAATTTGGCATCGCAACAGGCGCCAAGCTGAATCCAAATGTTAATTCTGCTACGTACAATCAAGGTCTTCAACGATATCACCACATCCATGTTTTCTTTATGCTGACGACGCGTGAGTTGGACCTGTCGTGGAGCTCCCTTTTTCCGGACTTATGCTAATGATAGTTCACCCTGCCCCCAAAAAAGGCAGGCTGGTCGGGGTTGCGGGTCAGGGCATCTGGAATGCAGAAAGGAGAGAAATGTTAAGTATACATGGTCATTACACAGCCCCCTGTTCTGGAAGGGCTGTCCCCAGCCCTTCGGTCGTTACTTCTACTTTTTGGGCGATCGGAAGAATTTCTGGTGTAGGTGGCGCTCCTGGGACAACGGGAGCTACCGGCTTTAGCGAGTTGAAGTGTACAATAATGCTGTCACGTTCGAGGTCTGTCCCCGCCTTGGTTACACGACACGTACTTGGGCTCAATACCTCGACTACGACGAACGGTCCGGTCCATTCGTGCTTCAACTTCGTGTGCATACCCGGCCTTATCGTTGACTTCTTCACCCATACTTGTTCGCCTGGCGGTAGCGGTGCACCGTCTGCCTTTCTGTCGTACTACTCCTTTTGGTGCCGCTGTGACGTCTGGATATGTGAGCGCGCCAAGTGGTGACCTTTGATCAGCGTTCTCCTGATATTCATCACGCATTTGGTGGAGGTTAGCGGCGTCTCGCCGGCATTGGGTGTGGTCAAGTCGATTGGTAGTCCCATCTCCCGACAAGTGATCATGAAATGGGGCGTTCGACCTGTGGACGACTGGATGGTGGTCCGGTAAGCTAGCAGACAAAGAGATAGGGTAGCGTCCCAATGATGGGTGCTCTGACGAATGATGAATGCTTTCAATAGTCCTTCTAAGGTGCGATTGGTCCGCTCGACTAGCCCGTTTCATTGAGGATGATAGGGTGTTGTACGGGTCTTTTTGATACCCAAGGCTTGACAGACCTCAGCCATTAAAAATCCTTTGAAATTGGGGCCTTGGTCTGTGTGCAGGTTTAAAGGTGCACCCCACCGGGTAATCCAGGTTTTACAGATCGTTCGAGCTACCGTGGCTGCGCCGGTCTTGTTAATTGCATCCGCTTCGCACCACTTGGTAAAGTAGTCTACCATGACGACTATGTACCGATTACCTTTACGGGTTTCAGGGATGGATACGATTATGTCCACTCCCAGCCTCTCGTTTGGGAAACCCGCCGTCATCGGGGTTAGGGGCGCCCGGTAAGTGATCCTCAGGGGTTTGAACTGCAAGCATAGCTGGCAGTTGTTACAGAAACTGACTACGTCTCGAACTTGGTGTGGCCACCAGAAACGCTGTCCGACCGCAGCGATCATTTTCCTTTGCCCGGCGTGCCCCAGCTCTCAATGCAGTCCTGTCATTACCGTTGGAACTACTGACTGGGGCACGACTACTCTCCGGTTGTATGCAGGGCTGTGTTGGAAATATAGGATACAATCCAGTAATAAAAGATGTTCCCATAAGCTCCTTAAACACATGGTTTCCTAACTACTGCCTTTCATTTCTTCTCGAGTTGGCTTTCGACCATTTTCCGCCAGGCGTTTATGGATCAACCCCAGCTCGGGGTCTTCAGCTTGCCGTTTCTTCCAGGGGTCGGATTGTGCAGCTTGCAGCGAAATTGCCGCCGTATGGACGCAGCAGCATGTTGGACAATCGCCATGCGGTCGACAGGGTCTTCTCGATAAGGCGTCTGCATTGCGGTGGCTAGTTCCAGCCCGGTGGACGCACCTAAAGTTGTACTCCTGCATGGCTTCTTGCCAGCGAGCAGTCTGTCACGTTGCGTCCTTGAAGTTTCGAAGCCAAACTAGTGCCTGGTGGTCCGTACGTACAACGAACTCTTTACCCAGCAAATAGTGTCGGAAATACTTCAAGAAGTAAACTAGTGCTAATATTTCCTTTTGGGTAGTGCAATAGTTGTGCTCGTGCTTGTTTATGCAGCGACTCCCGAAGGCTATGACCCGCTCCTGCCCATCCTAGAGCTGGGATAGGACGGCGCCTATGCCCACGTTACTTGCATTCGTGTCTAGGATGAACGGTTCGGCACCCTGAGAAATGTCTGGTGAGGTCAGTACCGGGGCTTTAGTTAGGGTCTCTTTTAGGGTCTCGAGGGCGGTCTGGCATTCGTCCGTCCAAGAAAACCGTCTCCCTTTCTCGACCAACTGGTGAAATGAGGCAGGGGTCCGGGCGAAGTCTTTCACGAATCGTCTGTAATNCTGTAATACGACGCCAGGCCCATGAAGCTGCGTACTTCCTGTAAGGTACTGGGAGTTGGGCAGCTAACGATCTTCCATTTCGCTTGTTCGCCGAGCCTGGCAATTTGTTTGCAAACGTTTCATCACCAGCCGAGGTGACATCATCAGTGCTTGTGAAGTGGCTAACGATCTTCGCAATTTTATCAGGGTCTGTCTGTACGCCTTCGCTGCTTATGACGTGCCCAAAGTAGTTTACTTTCGAACACAACAGTCGACACTTAGACGGCGTCAACTTCAGCCCCACGGCCTTGAGCTTTTCAAAAACTGCCCGTAAACTTCTCAGGTGCTCCTCGAAGGTTTTGCTTTACACGATGATGTCGTCCAGGTAGACTAAGCACTCCCCGGGGATCAGGCCAGATAGCACCATCTACATCAGGCGCTGGAACGTCGTTTGGGCGTGGTATGAAACTCGTATAACCTGGAGGGAACCACGAACGCAGTTTTCTCCTTATCGTCTGGGTGAACTTCCACTTGCCAATAACCTGATACTAGGTCTAAGGTGGAGAAGACCCGAGCATTAGCCAGTGACTTTAGGGCCTCGACAATTCGGGGTAGTGGGAACGAATCTCGTTTCGTCAGGTTATTGAGTTCGCCGTAGTCCATACACAATCGTAGAGTGCTGTCTTTTTTACTAACACTACCGGTGATGTCCAGGGCGAGGTCGAGGGTCGAATTATCTGGCTGTCTAGCATTTCTCGAAGCATTCGGTTGAGTTCGGGTTTATGGTGTATGGGTATGCGTCGAGGTGGGCTCTTCTTCGGCTCCGCACCTTGTGTGTCAATTCTGTGAGTCACCACGTTGGTACGCCTTAAGTCATTTTTCGACCAAGCGAATGCGTCTACGTTTGCGAGGAGTAACTACCGTAATCGTACATGTTCCTTGTTTGATATTAATCCATTTGTGGCACACAGCCGGTTAAGCTGGTCTTCGTCCGGTTTGTGGTACCTTTCAACCGCGCACACCAGGAGCTCATTCGGAAGCTTAAGTCTGATTGGGTGGTGATATTGGATGTTCTCCCCTCTAAACCGAAACAACCCGAGGTGTGGGCTCAGCGAGCAATCAAACCGAGACAGGCAATCCATACCCAATATGGCAGACCACGGTAACTCCCTAACAACTATCGCCTTGTGAGTGAAGTTTTGACTGCCGATGGTAACGGTTACTGTCGTTTTCCCTACGGTGGTGATTTCTGTATTGTTCACCGCCCAAACCTTTTTACGTCACGGTTTTCGAGTCGGTGGAATGTTTGGACCCTGTCGTACTAGGGTGCGCTCTGACCTGGTATCCATTAACACGTCTCCCGGTGTGTCATTAATAAACCTCTTAATCAATGGAATATGATGGTCACGGGCATTTAGAGCAGGAACATGAACACAAAATATTTGCGGACTTGTAACGTCCTTGTGGTTGTTCGTCGTTCCCGTTCTTGCCCCTGTCCCGGTGCCGGTCATTTGTGTTCCATCCGCCGAATTGTCTGCCGTGGTTCTGAGGACGTTCACGTTGCCGGTGCCCTGGGCTTCTCGGTCCGCTTNGATGGCGGGGGATCTGCGGTTGCTGTGGTTCTCCTTCCCCGTCGCTCGGTCAATCGCTTCCGCCATTGTGGTGGCTGGGGCAGCGTCGAATGACTCTACCGTGGCCGGTGACCGTACCCCGTCCATGAAACAAAATAGTACGAGTTGCTCCCGGGTCTCTGCGTCGAACTGGGGATAAGCCTGTGCTGCGTGTTTATGAAGTTCCGACGCATATTGCCGAGCGGTCTCCGTTGACTTTCGTACACAGTACCGGAAGGCGTTGCGGAACTCTCGCAGCGGCCTGGGTGGAACCAGTATAGTTCGCAACCTTTGGAAGGTAACATCAGTTACTTCCTGTGGTTCGACTTCTCTATATATCTAGTCATTCACCTCACCATCGACGAGTGACAGCAAGATGTACATCTGGCTTCTCGGGGAGCAAAGCTGTAGGTAGTCACGGACCTGTGACTACCACCGATCGAACTTGTCACCCATGTAAAACTTCGCCCGCGGCGGGATGGCTACTGGCACGCCGAATGACGGTTGGGCTGCCGTGACGGAAGTGGATTCCTTGCATGGCTCAGACTTTCCGTGATTTTCCGGCATTATCTTCATCCCACCACCGTCACCAATGTTTTAATGTAGGAGCGCCTGGGGCTGAAATGGTCAACAGAACGGTTAGTCACAGACAAGCGGCGACGACAACAGCAGCTATGCAAGGGTCGGTCGAGTAGAAGGCGAATTCGAGGGCGGCCAACGTGTATTGTAACAGAAGCATATGCAGATGTACAAAACCAGAAACGGAAGTCAAAAATGGGGGGACAGTCTGGGTATATATATACAATAGGGGGGTCACAAGTTCGTGTATTGGTTTCGTCAACGGGCTGGCCGGGGTTGCGGGTCAGGGCATCTGGAATGCAGAGAGGAGAGAGAAATGTTAAGTATACAGGGTCATTTCAACATCACTGTTCAATCAGTCGATGTCAACGGGCATAATGCTGGTTGACTGGAGCAGAGCAACGATTGCCTCCGTCCACCAGAAAGGGGATGAAGCTAATATGGAAAACTATCGACCAATTATCTTAAACAGCATCGTTTTCAAAGCGATGGAGCGAATAGAAAGATAAAAATTAGTAGAGTACCCAATAGGCGTGCACTTGTTTTCGAAAGCACAACACGGGTTCCTCAAGGGTCGATCCTGTCTGACCAACCTCTTAGTATTTCTAGACGAAGTAACTAGCAGGTTAGACAAGGGAAAAACAGTCAAAGTTTGCTACCTAGACTTCTAAATGCGTTTGACTCCGTTAACCAAGTGCTGTTACTGCACAAATTAGAGGGTACAATGTCTCCAAAACAGGTATGTAACTGGATAGCCAGTTTACTTCACGATCGCACATACCAGGTGAAAATACGATCCGCGATCTCCAGCGAAAAGAAAGCGACTAGTGGTGTCCCTCAAAGGTCAATAATAAGACCACTCCTCTTCCTCATATTTATCATCGACCTAGACGAGGAGGTCACAAATCCATGCCTCATTTACGCAGACGACGTCAAAATAGTTGGCGGCTCGTCTAGTCGTCAACCAATACAGGACGACTTAAACAGGCTCTTAGCTTGGATGGTAAGGTGTGATCTGCCTCTGAACGCAAACTAATGTTGTGTTCTAAGCAAAAACACTCCGGAACCCTCCTGCGGCTTACGCTCTCAAATCAAGAAGCACATAGTCTGAAACAATGTGGGTATGTCAAGGATCTTGGGATTACAGTCTCAGCCAGCTTTGCACTTAGCGAACAATGCGCCGAAGCAGCTCACAAGACCAGGAGAGCGCCGTTTGTACTCAGAGTTGCAATAAGCAGCAGAGAATCCAATGTATTCATACCTCTGTATAGGGCACTCGTAAGACCCCACCCAGAATACTGCGTCCAAGCTTGGGCTCCCTACCGAGTAATGAACGTAGATGGGTTAGAAAAAGTGCAACGTTAGCCACCAGAATGGTTTGCAAAAGCAAAGGGCTATCCTAAGAAGATCGACTTGAGCACCTGAACATCTTCTCTATGCGTAGGAGACCTTTAAGAGGAAACCTGTTCGAAGTCTTCAGACAAATGAAGGACGCTGATCTAGGCCTCCTACCTCTGAGATCCACGAGAGAACTAAGAGGCCATGAATGTCACCTAGAAAATAATAGAAGTAGGTTGGATGTGAGGAAACCTTTCTTCACCAACAGGGCGGTCAACTTCTGGAATTGCCTCCCCAGATGATTCGTTCAACTGAAACACAGTGCAAGCCTTTAAGATGGAATTAAATAGATTATGAACCGAGACCTTTTCAGACGTGACCTAAAACAGAAGAGAAAAAGGACCTTTTATTCTCTTCATTCCCACGTTTGACATAACGTGATGCACATGCACAGCATGCACACGCAGGAACGCTTACGCTTAAGTGTACGTCTCTCACCGACACGGCAAGAAGACAGTTTGTTCCCTCTCTTCTCAAGGCTTGCCAAAAACAGGTGCGACAATTACTACATCCGAATCTCACATCCTCGGACGTTCGCGGAACTATCAACCATGCTGAAAGCCAGGTCAGGTCAGGTTGCATAGAACTGAATATGGCCACGGACAATCCAGCGTCCAGAATTCCTTCGATGGTATGCTCGCAACGTGGACACCCAGCACTGCTGAAATAAGAATGAGAAATACGATTTCATCTCACCAAGTTGGCGGATGAATTGTTGGACGTGAACATTCCATGACGTGCACCAGTAAAAAAGAAGAAAAACATCCTAAACATTTGGCACACTTACACTCGTCTACACTGCCAAAGATGGGAATAGTTGCACTCATCGCTTATCGAGTGTAGTCTTAAAGGCTTGCACTGTTTGGAAGTCGACTATTTCCTTGGGAAACCGGTTACAACTGTCGGCTGTCCTATTGCTGAAAAAATGCTTTTGCATGTTCAGTCG